CTCCTCCATGGCGCTGCCCCGGCCGCCCGAGCCGCCCCGCGGCGCGCCCCGCAAGGCTCCCAGCCTGCTGGAGATGGGGGCGCTCTGCCTGGACTCGGAGATCATCCTGGGCTTCACCAGCCACCTCCTGCGGCGGCGAGGCAAGGTGAGGGCCGGCGGCCGGCTGGCGGCGGAGGCGCTGTCCCGCGACTTTGCGGCGCGGCTCTCGCGGCTCGGGGGTGCGGCGCCGGGAAGGCGGCAGCAGGTCCTGAGCCGAGTCCCGCAGCCAGGCCGGGACTCGCTGCCGCACTTTCCCCCGTTAGCGCTGCCGCATCTCACTGTCCCCTCAGGCTGCGACCTGGCCGGACCGATTCGGACCGGGGCGTTCTGTCAGGGCGGAGAGCGCCGCGCTGGGACTCCGGGTCGCACCTGGAGCCTTACTAGGCTGGGCGAGGGCGAGGGCTGACCCTGAGCCCCTGAGGTGACTCCAGCCCCTCGTGCACCTCTGGGCTGCGCCGGGTGTGACTCGGCCCCTCCAGGAACCCGGTGCAGGGCGTGAGCTGGCGCTGCCCGAAGCGCCGAGCGGTGCGAGAGCTGAAGTTGCGGGCGTGGCTGGCCCTGGGCGCAGGACCAGGGCTCCTGGCGGCGGCGTGTTTCTGGGGGTGCGTGTGGGGAGTGTGCGCGTGGGGACGTAGGGTGCGTGAGCCGCGCTTCCCGGCCCCAGGTGTGTGTCCCAGAGCAGCTGAGCGGCGAAGGGCCGTGTTGTCTGCGGGCAATGAGGGTGGCAGTGGGGGAGACGGTGGGGCACTGGGGTGGCGTTAGGGGATACCCACATCCAGATGTGTTTTTTCGGGAAGCTGCGATGAGATGGGGAGGGGAAGAGCTTCTGGGCCCCCAGGCAGGTAGAAAGGGGCTGCAGGCTTTGGGGTAGCAGAGTGAGAGTGGGGAGCCCCTGCTGAGTTTATTTCTCACCCCCCCGTTTTCGAACCCCTCAGGCCATGAAAGACCCGGAAAGCCCGGAGGAGACCGTCCGCCCCACTTTCTTGGGGAGTGTGTGCGTGGCGGGGAGGGCTCTCCAAGGGAAAGGGGGGTGGGCAAAACGTTAAGGGTCGCTTCGACGGCTCACGGGAGGCGGGAGGCCACTCTGGCCTTCGCCCAGGTCTCACGTGCGCGGGGAGCCAGCGGGGCGCTGCTCTGGCTGGCCCCTCCAGACCTCGGGTGCGCGTCTGGGTCGGGGCGCACGGCGCCCGGTCTCCGCAGCCTCGGAGCCGAGTGCGCGGCCCGCAGGGGGCGCTGGCGTCGCGGGAAGCCCGGGCCCGCGCTCTCAGAGCTCGACCTCGGGTTTCAGGCCGACGGGAACCCGGCCCTGAAGTCGCCCGTGGCTCCGTGTGGCGGCGACATTTGGGTCCCGGCTGGGGCGGGAGCAACTGGTCGCCGGGGAAGCGGGGCGACCTCCCAGCCGGAGACAAACAGGCAATTAATTCCGGAGCTGAGTCCCCATCTGCCAGCCCTGCCGACAACAGGTCCCGCGCGCCCGCAGGGCCTCCCCGCTCTCGGCGGCGCGGCGCGCGCCCGCTTTCCCACTTCGGGGCACGCGCGCCGCGGACACGCCAAGACACATACTCGGCCCAGGCCGCAGCGACACTCACCCACGCGCGACAGGTAGACCCCAAGGGTGGCCAGAGACACGCAGAGTGCGCTGGATTTGCTGGCAAAAGCGCCTGGAGTCTGGGGGCCGAGTCCAGCCTCCTCGTCCCACCTCTCTGCGCGACTTGGCAAGACCTTCCCCTCTGCGGCCTCGGTCTTCCCGCCTGTAAAGTGACGAGGGGGTCGGTCCTCCCTCGAGACGTGCAGACCCAGTGTCCCCGGAGCAGAGCCGGAGGCGCATGCGCGCGCTAACTTGCGTCTCCCCGCGGCCCCCAGCCCCTCCTCCAGGCAGGGACTCACCTAACAGGTTGGGGTCCTTGGAGTGGGAGGGGCCGCGCGGGGAAGCAGGGCCCCCTGGCCCCACTCGCCGCCGGGCACCGGGCCAGGGAGGGGCGGCCCTCCCGGCCCCGCCCCCCGCCCGCCCCAGCCCCGCCCCGGCCCCGCCCCGGCTCCAGAGCGCGCCCGCCGCGGCCACCGCGCGCTCCGCCACTCGGGGGCCCAGCCAACTTCCGAGCGACCGGCCGGGCCATGGGGCGCCCCCGGGCCGGATCACGGAGCCGCGGCGCCCCGGGAGCGCCAGCGTAGCCCCGGAGCGCCCGCCTGGCCCTCCCTGCGCCCGGGCCATGGGCGGCCGCGGCGCCCCCTTGTGTGCAGCGCAGCCCGCGGTACGCGCGGCCGGGCCTGGAGAGGGAGGTGGGCGGCGGGGCCCGCGGGCACTCGCGGCACAGAGCCCGGGACGCGAAGATGCTGGCGGAGTGCGCGGGCCTTGAGCAGCGCGCCACGCGGCTCCGGGCCTTCTCGTGGTGGGGGGACTCACACCCGAGACCTCCGGGGGCGTTGGGAGAGGTGCTCGTCAGGTTCGCACCCAGTGCTCCTAACTTTGGTGAGAGCGTCACTCGGGGGGGCCCGGTGCGCTGAGGTCTGGAGTTCCAGGCGGCCCGGCTCACTGTTCCCTTCCGCCTCCACTGCCCGCAGGTGGCCGAGGGCGGCCTGACCCGCGATCCGCTGCCGCTGCTGGAGGTGCCCCCCCGCAAGAGGCTGCCCGCCGGGCCCGACCAGGACCCATGTGGCAGCCGCCCTGCGCCCGAGGGCGCCGGGGCCGGCGCGGAGCAGGGCCACTCGGCCGGTGGAGGCGGCTGGTGCCGCCACTGCCACACGAAGCTCGTGGAGCTCAAGCGACAGGCGTGGAAGCTGGTCAGCGGGCCCGGGACTCCCCTTCGGGTAAGTGGCACTTTCTCAGGATGGCCCCTCTGGCAGGGCCACGCTGGAACTTGGTAGACCTGGGGCGGAGAGGGAGGCAGGGGTCCACTCCTGCCTGCTGCGTGTTCCACGGTTTTCAGCTAGGCTCTTCCCCTCTGTGGACCTCAGTTTCCCCGTCTGTAACGGTGTGTGAGAGTGTGGGCAGCTCATCCTAAGGGAGCTCTAATGAGAGACGGGAGGCGGTTGGGCTGGTGTTTCCCCCCTAGCGCAGATGTCCCCCAGCTGGAGCCACACATCTGTGTTTGGGAGGGGGAAGGGGAGAGCGGGATGGCAGGGACTCCACCCAGGGTGGGGCAGCTGGCGCCTGCCAGCAGTAAGAGGTTACTTGGTGTGTTGTCACCCTTGGGGCACCTGGGCCCCCAGCCAGCTGTCTGGGCTGCCCCCCAGCAGCTGCCCCTCTGCCAGCATCGTGGGTAAAAACTATGGTCCCACGCGTCCTGGGGCCACCATGGGCAGTGGCCACCCATCTGGGAATGGAGTTGCTGGGCCTCCAGGCTCCCCAGGCCCCAGCCCAGCTGGCAGGTGCTTGCCAAGGAGAGGCCTCTACTGGGTTTTCGAGCCAATGGGCTTGCCCCAGTCTTGGAAGGAGCAGGGACCATTGTTCCAGGGAACAATGCTCCGTGGAAGTTTGCAAAGGCTGGGGAGGTGGGGGTCCCCAGAGGAAGCCCGCCTGCCTGACCTTCAGTCTTTTTGAAAGAGTTCCTGGGAAGTCCACATAATCCCATTGAATCTAAATATAGTTCTCCAGGGAAGGCTGTGTGGGCTGGGGGTGGGTGCGACCCTGGGCTCCCTGTCTGGGCCTGGCAGGGTGGGCAGGGTGGGTCTGGTCTCTGTCTCAGGCCCCCTGTCCCGGCCCTGGGTGGCCTTCCCTAGGGGTGGAGGCGCTTCGGCCTCCCTCGGTGGCCTGTCCCGGGGTGGGGCTGCAGCCTTGGCCGCGCTGTGCCCGGACGGCCTGTATCTAGTTTAAAAGGTGGCAGAGGACCTGTGAGGGCCCCGGAGAGAGGGTAATTTGGACCAGATCTGAGGGCCGTCTTGCTACCCCATTACGGGGAACAGGACAGAGACAGGAGGGCTGTTTGGGACTGAGCTGGTCTGCCCACCCTAGGGGCCTTGCCTGGTGATGCTGCCAGCCTCCGGGCCAAGTGCTGGCCTGGGCCGGCTGAGGGCGCAGGGGCTGGCTGGTGGCAGGGGGCCAGGGGTCCCACTGGAGAGAGCTGCGGTCACACAGTCCCCAGTCGATTCGGGGTTCCTCATTTAGGGGACTCAGTTGTCCGTTCCTGCAGACGGCTCATCAGGGAAGCCCCTGACCACCCATAGCTGGCCTTCCTGAATTTGACCTTTGACACCAGCTTCTCCCGTCAGTGCCAGGTGGGGGCTCACCCCTCCCTGGCCGGCCCTGGGGCGCAGTGGCCTGGGGCGTGGGCCAGGGCTCTGTTCTGCTCTGGTGCCCTGTCTCCTGCCTTGTCAGATGGGAGTGGCTGTTCTGGGGGTGCTGTGCCGGTTTGGGGGTGCTGTGCCTGAGGGAGGGAAGGCTCCAGGGTCCTTTGTTTCTGCAGAAGGAGGGAAAGCCACAGGGCACGGAGGCTGCCCCTGAGGCCCCGGGACCTGCCCCTGAGGCCCCAGGACCTTGCTGGGTGCCTTTGTCCCATTACCTGCGTGGGCCTGTCGCCCTGGCTGTCTTGTCGGGGAGCTTCTTTCAGGGCAGGGAGGGGGCAGCAGCCAGGAGGGGACGATATAGGGGCTTCTGCTCGTGGGCTGGGCAGGAGATCTCTGTGGGGCGGCTGAGGGGCCTCGTCGTGACTGGCTAGGTGAGCTCCCTGCAGGGGTTCCTGGGACTCTTGCCCACTGTCCAAGGGCTCTGGGCTCTGCTCTCCAAGGCCGGTGTGACACCGGGATTTTACAGTTGGTGTCTGTTCCTTATTTTTTATCATGGGGAGATGAGCTTCCCGGAAGACAGCACTTTACAGTTTACCGAGAACTTTACCTGCATCTCTCTTGCTTACACTTGGATCCTTGGAGGCCCAGAGAAGGGGGGTGGCTTGCTGGGCTCCCAGAGCTGGGCCTGGGATGGAGCTGGCCCTGCCTGGCCGTTAGAGGCGTGGCCTCGTGGCTCCCTGCCTATCTCAGCTGGGAAGGTCAAGGGCCAGCCTGGTGGGGTCACCCTGAACTTGTTGCTCCTTAAGCCAGTCCATGATCACCCCACACTCTGGCCCCAGGGTCCCTGCCAGGGCTCGTCCCCAGCTGGCCCTTTACCCTCTGAGGCCAGTGGACAGCTCTCCACTGTGGGACCTTGGGCAGGCTTCCTCCGCTGTGACATGGGACTGTCTGCGTACCCGTTTCACAAGTACGCGGGGCAGTGCCCAGGATGGGGTGCGCTGGCACACCTCCGCCATGGCTGCGGCTGTTTGCTGAGCTGGGCTTGAGAGTCACGCAGTGCCTGGGTCTGGGGGTGCAGCGTGAGGCAGTGGGAGCCCCACTGGCCACCAGCAGCCTGTGCGTAAGGCCTGCCTTTGCCTTGCCACCACGTGTGCTCGTCGCCCTGAACCTGCCTCGGTTTCCTTGTGCTGGCAGTGAGGGTGAGACCGTGACCCCCATCCCCGTGGGGTGGACAGGACCATTCTCCACCCCTTTCTGCGCCCCAGTGCCCCGTCTGGGGGCGTAGGTGAGGGAATGTTTTCCTGCCCAGGTTGGAACCCTGCGAGATTGTCTTTCCTGATCTGAGAAAGACCCCTAACCCTAACCCTAACCCTAGATATTCGGTTGGCCCTGGGTGTGGAGGGGAGCCCCAAGGCTAGGGCCTCTGGGCCATGACCCCCTTGCCCCACATGGTGCCTCCCACACTGTGCCCCCTTCTCTGTGCTTGCCAGGTCCCCAGACCTTGTCTTCCTGGTGACTGCTTCAGGACTCCATGTGGCCTGGAGCCACGCCCTGTGGACCGGCCCCCTTGTCCCTGGAGCCCAGCTCCCCAGGCAGGAGGCCCTGCAGTTTCCCTGCTCTGGCCCCTGTGCCCCCTTCCCCGCCCCCCTGGCTTTGAGACGTCCCTGCAGGGCCGGGCCCCCAGGCCAAAGTTAGGTCCTTCCTCTTTCTGCCACACCTGAGGCCCCTCGTCCCTCTGTGCTCTGTGTCCTCCCCACCATGATGGACTGGTCACAGTGCCGGCAGACCTTCACCCCCACCCCGGTCCAGGGTGCCACTGCCCGGCGGCAGCGCTGCCAGGTCAGCCATGGGATCCAGGTCCCCTGGAAATGTTTGGGGAATGTGAGTGACTAGGCTGTTCCTTCACACCCCGCTCGCTGTGGTCACCCGAGGGCTGCTGGTCCTGGATTCCAGCTCTGTGTCCCCCAAAGTGACAGCCCCCGGGGTGGAAGACATCCCCCACAAGAACCCTTCCTTGTTCAAGTGGGGGCATGATCTGCCTGGGGATCCATCCAGCTGCTGCCCAGATGTGTCACTGGAAGTGGTGACTCCTCCGGAGACCTTGTGACGTCTGAAGTGTCATGTCAATACTGGGGCTGAACTGACTGTCGCCCCCACGGGGGAAAGGCCACTTCTCACTGAGCTCCTGCGGAGTCTGTGCTCGTGCAGGCAGGGGCCACACCGCGCTGCTCCTGAGAGCTCCAGAACCGCTGCCGGCATCCCCTGCCCTCCCGCGAGCGCCAGGCGGGACAAGGCCCAGGCTACCCGGGAGACTGTGGCTCTGGGCTGTCACCCTGCACGCAGCTCCGGGTGCCGTGCCCTGGCTCGGGGTGCCTGTGTGCAGGGAGCTGGCTGTCGTGGGTCGGAGGCCCCGTGGCCCCATGAGCGTCTGTTTCTCCTGTTTCGTGGGTGTGTCTGTGTTCCTCTCTCGTTTGACTGGGAGTGGGTGTGGGCGGTTCAGCCCCCTGGATGGGTGGAGGCGTGCTGTCTCCACGGCCCCCAGCTCTGGTCACACCATCATTTTGGGGTCCTGGGTCTGTCGCCTCCAAATCGACTGTGGTTGTGGGAGGGCAGAGGCCGAGCCCAACTTGTCTGATGGTGGAAGTTTGCCACCTGGAGTCAGAGTCCCTGGACCCCCAGGCTCATGGCTGCCACCCCCGACTCTCTTCGAAGCCTGGCCTGGGCTCCACCCAAGGCTGGGGCCACCTCCGTGCCAGGGCAGCAGTGTCTGCCATGGGGCTCTGCAGGCTGGCGCACCTGGCGTCCGCAGTGCTCCCAGCTGAGCAGGTGTCAGCAGGCTTCAGTGGCAGCCAGGGGACGTGCGCCAGGGGCTGCCGGGCAGCCTCCCAGCTGGCACGGCATGACTCAGCCGGGAAGGGATCTGTTCTGCAGCTGGAGTCTGTGGGGCTCGGAGGCTCTCAGGTCACTCTGGGGGATGGAGCTTGGGCGGGGGGAGGAGGCCTGGTCAGGCCCAGTGTCACCGTCCAGCCCTGAGACCGGGGCTGGCTCCCTCCTCCCCGAGTGTACGGTGGTCTCCTGGGGTCTCCTGCGGCTCAGTGTGTGGTGGGATGAGGCCTGCCCTTGTGCCCGTCACATCTTTTTTTGCTGGTCTGGGGTTTCAGGGATTGAGGGTGGGATCTGAGCTCTAGGGGCGGGAACCACTGCCCTGCGACCATCCTCCAGGAGCAGAGAGGGAGTGCTGGCCACCGGCAGGGAGCAGGCGCCGCGCTGTCCTGGGCACAAGCTTTGAGTCTTAGGGGACAGGCTCGCTCCGGGGAGTCTGGCTGTGGGCAGACGGGGGGCTGGGCAGGGACGGGAGTTGTGGTTGGGGGCCTCACTGCCTCTCTGCTGAGAGGTGGAGGACAGGGAAGGAGGGGACTGCAGGTCACCCCCAAACCTTGAGCTGCTCAGAGTCGTGCTGAGGGTTGTGGTGATTCGGGGTGGGTTAAGGCAATGGGTCCCTCGAGTGTCCTGGAAGGATCTCATATCTGGGAGCCAGAGGAGCAAGTTCTTGTCTTAAATAACAAGGAAAGTCTAATTCCCAT